GCTGTGAATCCAGACCTGAAGGAGCTGGATGCACCCGGTGAATCTTCCTTCGCCCGTTCTTCGGCAATGGTTGAGAGATCGAAAGGTCTCGGCTAAGATGGCTGGTGCTGGGTTAACTCGTTTAGAAAGTTGCTCAAATAGTTCCACCACGACAGCGTCAATGCACCCCAAAGCTTTCGGAAAGATAATCAAACCGTACAGACCCAGTGCAAAAAGGTCTATAGTCTTCCACTCATCAGGGTGGTTTTTCATTAGTTGCTTTATGTGGATCCATTCAATTCCTTCTCCACTGCCTCTACGCTGAGTCCGATCGATTACCCATTTCTCATCTACTCCTGCAACTTTGGCCAGTGCATTCTTGAAGGGCTGGCTTTTGATGTGTTTAATGTAGGCTCGCTCAAGCTTGATGCTTTCACAATGCAGCAGTGTAGTGTATTCTTCGATGGTGGGCACCATGTCCTCTTGGTTAAAAGTGAAGCAACTATATCCCGGGTTCTAGAATTGAACCATGGCTCTGATTAAGGGCTCATCAGTCTTAACATGAAGCAAGAGTGCAATGTCACCGTACCGTTGGCTGAACTTCTGTCTCCGATCATTCTTCCAACTATCCCAGATATCTCGAAGCTCTTGTACATTGTTCTGTTTTAGGCTGATAGGGGTGTAGCGAACCAACTCTGACACATAGCTTCCTTGAAGTCTGTCTCCCTTTTCACTTTGAGTCTTCTCGGACCATAGTCGTGCCTCAGCATTTTCAATCTCTTGTATTACAACACCTTTGTCCATAAATTCAGATTATTTGAGTTTTAATAAACACCTTTTTAGGGATCAATGGCCTCTTGTTATGATGCAAATGCTAAAAACAAACACAAAGGCAAAAAGGTTAGTAAAATAGAAATAACTAAAAATAAATAAAAAATAAATGGTAAATGAAAAAAAAAACACAAAAAAAAGGTTAGGAAAGAAATGTCATAGGTTTTGGAATGTGGTTTTGGGGTAGGCTCTATTTATTCAAAGTCTCCCGGTTTAGGTTCTAAAAACGGTACTCGAGTTCTCCTTGCTGGCGCCCCCTTGGACCGACCAGACCCTTAGTCCGAAACCCATCACATGCTTGTGTGGACTAAGTTAAACTCGAGAGGACACATTCCCTTATGCCCATACGGAGAATAAATTCACACGAAGGCATAAGGTATATGAATCCCGAAGGCTACTTGCTAGGCCCATACGGTGAATAAATTCACACGAAGACGTCGCTTTCACCCCCACTTAAAACGGGTTCGGAGCTCGGGTTTAGAGCCTTAGATGAAAAATGTTTGGAAAGCTGAAATCATTAGAAAACGGTCAGTCCAACTATTTACTCGAAAAAATATAATCAAAAATAAGTAATAAGGATCGAAATATTACCTTAAAATTTAAACTTACCCTTTTCGTTAAAAAGACAACTGGAAATTACCTTAGCCTGACTCACTTACCTGTGTCCCCAGCAGAGTCGCCAAGCTGTCGGAACCGTCTTTTTTGTTGACTTACCTTGGAATTGGGCTTCGACTTGGATTGATTGGGTTAGAGTCGCCACCGACCATTTATTAAAAATGGGTTGATCGGATACCTTATTTCTTACCTGATCTGCGTTGTACCAGAAACGCGTCGGGTTCGGGAGTCGGTTACGGTCAAGGAAGGATTAGCACCCTTGAACCACCCTTTCGGTACTACGTAATTTCCAGTTGTCTTTATCAAGAAAGTTGTAATTTTAAATTAAAAGGTAAAATTTGATCCTAAATTACTTACCACTGATTAATTGAATGAAGACCATTAAGAAGAAAACGTTACGTTTGGAGTGGTGAAAATAAATAAGATATAACAACCACAAAACCAATGATACAAATAAGAGGAGACAATACAAATAAACTAATGATAAATAAGATAAATAAAGGAAAAGAAATAATATAAAAAAAATATACTAAATAAATGTATATATACATATATGCATGAATAGCAAAAACATACAAACAAAGAAATGAAAACTATATAAAAACAAAGGAATACAAATAAAACATGTATTAAATAAAAAGGAAACGCAATAGAATAAAAATAATAAAGTAAATGAAAAAAATAAAGAATATACATATAATAATAAAAGAAAACAAAAATATGTTTATATACGCTATCAATAATACCTAAAAATAATAAAATTACGATGGTTATGTATAGAGATAATAAAAATAAATAAAAATAAATAAAGTAAATGAAAAATATAAAGAATACATATAATAATAAAAGAAAAAAAATATGTTTATACGTTATCAATAATACTTAAAATAATAAAATTAACGATGGTTATGTATAGAGATAAATAAAAATAAATAAAAATAAATAAAGTAAATGAAAAAATATAAAGAATATACATATAATAATAAAAGAAAAAAATATATGTTTATATACGCTATCAATAATACTTAAAATAATAAAAATAACGATGGTTATGTATATATATATATATATATATATATATATATATATAATATATAAATAAAAATAAAATACATAAGATATATATATAAATAAAGGAATAAAATATAATAATAATGAAAATATAGTATATAATAATAGTAGGGATTAAATTGAAAACGAAATAAACTCAAGGGTCAATTTACAAGGATTTCGGGTTCAATAATCGATTCAGATGACCAAATTAAATGTTTTTGAAACTGGAGAACCAAAACGCAAATCTCTCACTTCTTGCAAAAACACGCGGGTCCGAGGAGTTCATCGGGTCGGGCGTAAGGCTGGAACGGGCTTAATATATGACTCAAACAAATTTTTTAGTTTCATTTCTTTCTTCAGAAATCAAAAGCCCTCGTCTCCTTCTCTCATTTCTCTATCGCCTGTTCTTCATATATGAAGAACACGGCGGATTTCCAGAAAAAGGCCATCAGCCGCCCCCCCACGCCGCCTCGCTGCCGCCGTTGAACGGCGACGGCCGCCGTTCATCGGCGGCAAAAACAAAAAAAAAGTTTCTTTTTTTCGAAAGCTGTTCACCCCCTTGTTCCAAAAACAGAGTTTGTTTCTTAGAAAAATCGGCCTCGGAAGTTAGATCTATGAAAATAGATCTCGAATGTGCCTCGGTTCATCGACCAGAAATCATTTTATTTGATGCTTTTCGAACCAAAAACAAAGAGAAGGAAGTACAAAGTAGACATGCAAGCCTGAAAATCGCGCAAAGGTGAGTTCCTTACCTTTAACTTTTCTTTGAAATTTTTTGCAGAGGAAAGAAAATTTCGAATGCTCTGAGTATTTGGATGTGATTTGCTAGTAACTTTTCTTATATTCCGTATCCAAAAAAAATCCCCCTTCGTAGTGTTACAAATGGATCTATTTATACTGAAAAACTAACTATTTTTTAGACTCCTATTTAAAATATAACTCTAATGTGTTGTTGTTTGTTGATGATGGTTGTATCGTTTGTCGTACGTTTCGGGGTTGGAGTCCCATATATCCACGAAGGTGGTTTATTGTCGAGAAGTACGGGGGAGAGGCGTGAACATTGAAGACTCGTGAGGCATGGGGTCTTCGCGCGGCTGGAAACAAGGGATGCGGCGTTAGGGTTTGGTTTGATTACCAAACGAGTCTTCTGCTGGACCATCTGGGTTCCTGGGCCACGTGTATCTGTAATGAATCTTGGGCCACATGTGAAATGTAACATAAATAATGAATAAATGAAAATATAAATTTATAATAATAAAAACAATATTATAAAATATAATATTAATCGATCGAAATTCAGTGTCTTCAAAACACATAAAAACAACAAAATCTAACTACTGATCAAAGAATTTAAATCCAATAAACAAAGAATGAATTATAGTAAATCATAAAATTTTAGATGATAGAAAATTAAAATAAAAGAATTAGTGAATCAAAATGATTTTATCACATTTTTTAAAAAATATTTCGCTTTTACAAATCTATAAAGTGGCGTTTGGTTCGCTTAAATGTTTCTAAGAGAATTAGAATCTGTGAAGGAATCGGAATCTGAAGGAATTAGAATCTGAATTTGAAACATGTTTGATTGGCAGTAAATTGAATTGGAATCTAATTTCATATTCTGTTTGGTTCGCAGACATGTCGGATGAATTTGATTTCAGTAATGTAAAATGACAGAATTTTCCTTCTTATTTTTTTTCTTAATTTTAGTTTTTTTTATAATTAACATGTAGCATTATATTATAAAAATTTAAAAAATATTAAATTTTCATTTTATTGATTGATTATTCATTTCAATAAATTATAAAAAATATATTAATAAACAGCATAAGTTAAAATCATCCCAATTAGGAATGGTCATGGATCGGGTTGGGTTTTTGGTCCACCCGACCCGACCCGATAATAAGGGAACATCCACCCGAGACTCGACCCGACCCGAAATAATAAAAAAATATTTTTATTCAATAAAAACAGTGACTTAATTGAAAAAAATTATAAATAGAGGGGTATTATTATAAGTATTCCTAAATATATAAGGTAAAATTATATATTTTTTTCGGGTCAGGTCGGGTATTTTTCACCCTAAACCTGAACCTGACCCGACCCGAATATCACACTTAAAAAAACCTACCCGACCCAAATATCACACTTAAAAAAATCAGACCCGACCCGAATATCAAACTTTAAAGAACCCGACCTCAACCCGAATATCAAACTTAAAAACACTCGACCCGACCCGAACCCGAATTTTTTTTTAAAAATCCGACCCGAATACCAAAAGATTAATGAGGGTAGTATGGTCAAATTTCACATTACCTCCTCCAAAAAATTTCAATTCTATCATGTTATGGATGAAATTTAATTTCCATCCCTTGATAAATTAAATTCTGATTCCTCTTTTAAAAACTTGAATTAAACATAAAAAAAATAATAGAATTAAATTTTAATTTCTTATAATTCTAGGATTTCATTAAACCAAACGCCATCTAACGGTTAATTCTCTCTCTCAGCTTTTAAATCACCAAACAAGAGCCAGGTAGCTGCCACCTTCACTTCTTACCCTCTCTTCAATAATTCTCTCGTTTGGGGTACCAGAAAAGTTCCACCTTTACACATCATAAAAAAGGATAAATATTCATTTCCTTTCCTTTCTTCCCCATTCTTCCCTTCTCTATTAACCCGTTTCTTCTTTTTCTTCCAGTAGCCACTTGTTTGAGCTTTGTGGAATAGGCCCAAAATCTGTGGTTTTCTCTCTTTCCTTTTGTTTTTCCTGGTAAGTCTGTTTGGACCTGGTTTGAGTGGATCTCCATGCGTCTTACCTCATCTTAGTATTGTCTATGGAGTTTTCTACCACTTCTATGATATGACTTCTTTATTTTATTATTGTGGATTCATATCAATTTGGGGTTTTAATTTTCTCTGATAATTATCCTTATCATGTTTTCATTATTGGTTGATAAGGTTGAGGTTTGGTTTTCCGGGTTTTTTTTCCTTTTTATTTTCTTCCATTTTTGATTTGGGTTTTAGTTACTGCTTGGTAAAACCAAAGCTCGGTTTGGATCGTCCGGTTTGGGGGGGGGGTGCTCTTGCCACCTTTTTTTCTTATAAAAAATTGTTATTGATTGAATATATTGAAGTTCTGAATCTCTTTGAAATTTTATACTCTCGTATTGCGTTTTTAATTTTTTTTATGGAGTGTCAAACTCGAAGCACTGTTTGTATCAGATACAATGAATCTGAGTTTGGTTCTGTTTTTCAGTTATTTTATTTTTATTACACGTAATTGTCCGGAGATCTGACTTTTATCTGACCGTTCCTAAAATTGAGATTTATGAATCAGATTTTGTTTTTCGGTCTCTCTTATGTCTTGTTAACTAATGCGTATGTAGCTGATGTTGCTTGTTGGCTTAGTTTGATATGTTCAATTTTCTTACAATCTTCTTTTTGTTTTGAACCACTTAATAATCTATGTCTTAACATAGGTTTTAGGAATTCCACATCTTTGTTTATACGTTTATGGCATTGGCTTAACTGAATTGTCAGTCATCTTGTCGGTGAAGTTGTAGGGTTTTAAATTCATAAGTTGTTGCAGTCATTTCTTTGATATTAAATTTATGTTTAGACTGTGTTTTGATCGGTTCACCTTTCTTATGCTGCTATTTTATATGGGAAATTAACGGCACTTGCATGGTTTTGTTAACGGATTTATTTACTTTTATGTGCAGGCTTAACTTAGTAGGCCTTGGTTATTGGAGAAATTTCCTTAAGTTTCAGACTTATCTTGGAATGATGAAGTTTGATGATATGAGTATTTGTGGAGATATGGATTTCTTATGTGCTCCCCCTGGGGGGAAAGATGTGGCGGTCCCGCAGATGGAAGTAGAGGCTGCAGTAGAGGATGATTTTTCTGATGAAGAGGTTGATGTCGATGAACTTGAGAAGAGGTTGTGGAGGGACAAAATGCGGCTCAAACGGCTCAAGGAACAGCAGAAGGGCAAGGAGGTGATCGATGTCGCCAAACAGCGTCAGTCCCAAGAACAAGCTATAAAGGTTAAGCTGGATTTCTAACACTTTTTATCATTCACATGTGGTAATAATGATAATTTTGATGTTGAGATACATATAAAGACTTTGAAGAGTTTCTCGAGGAATGTTTAAAATTAAAAGTAAATGACTGCATCATTTAAATCCCTTGGAGAAGATGAAGCTCGATTTTATATTTGCGATTCTACTCTATAGATAAGCTGAGGCATATTCCCTTGTTTGTGGCCTTCTGCCATTCTCACTCTTAGTTGTTAATGACAGCTTTGCAGAAAGATACTGTGTTCTTTATTCCTTTACCCCACAATGCGCATTAACCAGTCTCTTGGCTAGTATAGCTTCTGTTATTTTAATTTTAGGTGTTCGTGTTCATGATCGACAATCTACCTTCAAGTTTCTACTTTGTCTCTTCTTTGACGGGCCTCGTTGGAATCACTGTTTAATGGACTGTGTCTTATGGTGCACATTGTTAATATTTTAGAGCTATTTGTTTCTTTTATTTTCCTTGTGCAACGTCACTTATCTTCAATATTTTTCCGAAATATGTAGCTTCGAGAAAAACCCTCGCCTGGAAGGTCCCGAGCTTCTGGGGCTCGCAAGTTACGACACAAACTGCTCGTGAAGTACAGGTTGATGTTATAAAGCTTGGAGTTGAATATGTACTCACAAGGTTTTAAGCATATTATCACACGGTATAATGGGGTTTCTTAAACGCTAGGCCTCGTATGTGTAAATCTATATACCAGCTTGACTATATATAGCTCAATTATCCAGCTCTTTCTAAGATGTTGAAGGCAACTAGTATTGATGAATGTAATGGCAGCGACAAGTTAATTTGTGGTGTGATCCTTTGTTTTCATGGCACTATAGAGACATAAGTTTTTCTTTTGGTCATTCGACTATGAAAAGTTGCAAAATGACCACTCATGTTTTTAATGTCTTTTTTGGTTAGCCTAGTGTCTGCTTTCAAAGTTGGTATAATAATAAAATTAGCCCTTAATGTTTACATATTAATCAAGTTAGTCATAAATTTTAAAAATGTAACCCTTGATTTTATACATTGATCAATTTTATTTTAATTCTCAAAAAATCCAATCCACGGCTATAAGAAAAAGAAAAACCTGTACAAGGGTCTTAAAATCACAACTAAATAGGCTTCAAACAAGAGACAATTTCAATGGGATGAAGAGAGTAGTAAAATATCAAACCAATTGTTTCAATTAATTAAACCAGAAAATAAATCTATTTAATTAAAATTATATTTTTGATATAACTATTGGTATATAATTTATTAATCAATTAATTTTGAATAAATTCTTCGTATTTATATTACTCAAAGAGAAACAGTCAATTGCTACAACATCACAACGTAACCAATAAATACAACAGAAAATCAGAACAAACTCAAATAATCAGTTGGGAGATTCCCTACTTATTACAAAGACGAAAACTCATAGAGTCGAATCCAGTAATTTTTCAGCCCTTGAGTCGAATCTGGATCATCTCCTTTATACTCTGCAACACAACATCAACCGAGTAAAATGTAACCTCGAAGTGTCTATAGTTTCTCTCCTCCCAGATGCTATGAATGTGACAACCCTAAGCACACTTAAGAATCACAATGAGAAGAGACTTACCCTCAAAATGGTCCCTGATTTTTATCTGGTTTCCATAGATCACACACATCTCATTTCCGACATTCACTTCTAATCTTAAGATCCTCCTCTTGATAGGAAGTCTATCAAGAACAGTCATCTAAACAATTAGACCATGCTTAAGAATATGACCTGCAAACCAAATAATATTATGCCATGGACCTTTGGGATGCTCAACTAGAAACTCATCCCAGATTCTGTTAGCCTTTAGAAGGCTAACATCAACACCAACAGAAAAGTGAAGAGCTACAAGCTTTAGCTTTAAGATTTTTCTAAAGTTCCAACTAGTATTAGTTGGGATCTTCATTTGTATGTCTTGATTCATGCCATCCAGAAAGAACTCCCATCAGTTGGGATGTTTTTAGTCAACTGTAAAATGCAAGCTTTATTACATCCCCGATGTCCTTCATACCAAGCTTTCTCTTAGATCTTAACAGTCAAATCTGTTTCCAATTGATTCGAGCACCACTAGCAGTTATATTTGAATCCTCTTGATTGTATCTTGGGGAAGGATCAATTAATCAATTAATTGATTTATTATTACAAGATCAGAGTTTAACGATTCATTTCCTTAAACTAATTAGCATGATAATTGTAATTACTATTTAACGTAGGAAAAGCATCTTATCGGCTCAGCCTTCATCTTGGGTTTTGGTTCTGGGCATAAAATACAGTAAATAAAAGAGGGATTGATGGTTTACGTGTCCAAATAGTGGTCCACAAGGCTACCATTTTCTATTAGTCTTTTAACATAAGCAATGGAATAAACTAATACTGTTGACTAAACCATGTGTTAATTTGTTTGTAGTCCAATCATTTTATTCTCCTCATTATTATTTTATTTTAATTTCTCGCTATATTATTTTAGGTTTGAGTATAAACAAAACAAAAAAAGAAAAAAAATTCTTTGATACTACTGTTTATTAAATTTAAAAAATATATAATATACCCTCCTCCTCCTAAAGTTATTAATAATTAATAGTTTCATGCTTTAACAAAGTTATTCTTATATTATTATATATATTCAAACCATTTTATAGGTTCATGCTCTCACAAAGTTTCCATTTTTCGAAGTTTTATTAATTAAGTTAGAAGAAGAAATATTATCTATTTAATAATCAATATATTAAAACAATAAATAAGTTTTTATTATGTGATTTGTTTATTGAGAGTTTAAAAAGGAAGGCATAAGGTAAATATTGTGAAAAAAATAAAAAATAAAGATTTGTTTTAATTTTTGTAGGGTTATTATTAGTAAAATTTATAGTAATTAGGAGAGTCGTCTTCTTCCACTCAACTTTCAGTAAAATCGTTCTCTTCTGTATAATTAGAAAGTTATATTCTGTTACCAATGAATTTTAAAAAACTACATCGATTATTTACGATTTTAAACATTTCTTACATATTTTTTAAAAAATATACTAAATTATTAACATATTCGAAAGAAATATCAACAATTATCGAAGATTTTAAAATTAAATCTTTGATGTCTGAAAAAATATATAAACACAAAAACAAAAAAATCTAACTACTGATCAAAGAATCTAAATCCTATAAAAAAATAATGAATTATAGTAAATCATAAAATTTCAGATGATAGAAAATTAAAATAAATAGAATTAGTAAATCAAAATGATTTTATTACATTTTAAAAAAATATATATTTCGCTTTTACAAATCCCTAACAGCCTCTCTCTCTCTCTCTCTCTCTCTCTCTCTCTCTCTGCTTTTAAATCTCCTAACAAGGAGCCAGGTAGGCGCCACCTTCACTTCTTACCCTCTCTTCAATAATTCTCTCGTTTGGGGGTACCAGAAAAGTTCCACCTTTACACATCATAAAAAAGGATAAATATTCATTTCCTTTCTTTTCTTCCCCATTCTTCCCTTCTCTATACACCCGTTTCTTCTTTTTCTTCCAGTAGCCACTTGTTTGAGCTTTGTGGAATAGGCCCAAAATCTGTGGTTTTCTCTCTTTCCTTTTGTTTTTCCTGGTAAGTCTGTTTGGACCTGGTTTGAGTGGATCTCCATGCGTCTTACCTCATCTTAGTATTGTCTATGGAGTTTTCTACCACTTCTATGATATGACTTCTTTATTTTATTATTGTGGATTCATATCAATTTGGGGTTTTAATTTTCTCTGATAATTATCCTTATCATGTTTTCATTATTGGTTGATAAGGTTGAGGTTTGGTTTTCCGGGTTTTTTTCCTTTTTATTTTCTTCCATTTTTGATTTGGGTTTTAGTTACTGCTTGGTAAAACCAAAGCTCGGTTTGGATCGTCCGGTTTGGGGGGGGGGGCTCTTGCCACCTTTTTTTTTCGTATAAAAAATTGTTATTGATTGAATATATTGAAGTTTTGATTCTCTTTGAAATTTTGTACTCTCGTATTGCGTTTTTAATTTTTTTTTATCGAGTGTCAAACTTGAAGCACTGTTTGTATCAGATACAATGAATCTGAGTTTGGTTCTGTTTTTCAGTTATTTTATTTTTAATACACGTAGTTGTCCGGATATCGGACTTTTATCTGACCATTCCTTAAATTAAGATTTATGATGAATCAGATTTTGATTTTTGGTCTCTCTTATGTCTTGATAACTAATGCGTATGTAGCTGATGTTGCTTGTAGGCTTAGTTTGATCTGTTCAATTTTCTTACATTCTTCTTTTTGTTTTGGACCACTTAATAATCTCTGTCTTAACATAGGTTTTAGGAATTCCATATCTTTGTTTATGCGTTTATGGAATTGGCTTAACTGAATTGTCAGTCATCTTGTCGGTGAAGTTGTAGGATTTTAAATTCATAAGTTGTTGCAGTCATTTCTTTGATATTAAATTTATGTTTAGCTTGTGTTTTGATTGGTTCACCTTTCTTATGCTGCTATTTTATATGGGAAATTAACGGCAATTGCATGGTTTTGTTAACGGATTTATTTACTTTTATGTGCGGGCTTAACTTAGTAGGCCTTGGTTATAGGAGAAATTTCCTCAAGTTTCAGACTTATCTCCCGGGGGGGTGTCCGATCCGATCTTGGAATGATGATGTTTGATGATATGAGTATTTGTGGAGATATGGATTTCTTATGTGCTCCCGCTGGGGAAAAAGATGCGGCGGTCCCGCAGATGGAAGTAGAGGCTGCAGTAGAGGATGATTTTTCTGATGAAGAGGTTGATGTCGATGAACTTGAGAAGAGGTTGTGGAGGGACAAAATGCGGCTCAAACGGCTCAAGGAACAGCAGAAGGGCAAGGAGGTGATCGATGTCGCTAAACAGCGTCAGTCCCAAGAACAAGCTAGGAGAAAAAAGATGTCGAGGGCGCAGGATGGGATATTGAAGTACATGTTGAAGATGATGGAGGTTTGCAAGGCTCAAGGTTTTGTTTATGGAATTATTCCGGAGAAGGGAAAACCGGTAACTGGAGCATCTGACAATCTTCGAGAATGGTGGAAGGATAAAGTCCGATTTGATCGTAATGGTCCTGCTGCTATTGCCAAGTACCAGGCAGATAATTCGATTCCCGGCAAGAACGATGGCTGTAACTCCACCGGCCCGATCCTGCACACCTTGCAAGAACTTCAAGATACAACGCTTGGTTCTCTTTTGTCTGCACTGATGCAGCATTGTGATCCCCCTCAGAGGCGGTTTCCTTTAGAGAAAGGTGTTCCCCCACCATGGTGGCCTACTGGCAACGAGGAGTGGTGGCCACAGCTTGGATTGCCCAAAGATCAAGTCCCTCCTCCTTATAAGAAACCTCATGACTTGAAGAAAGCTTGCAAAGTCGGGGTTCTCACGGCAGTAATCAAGCATATGTCTCCTGATATTGCCAAGATTCGCAAGCTCGTAAGGCAGTCTAAGTGCCTGCAGGACAAGATGACAGCAAAGGAGAGTGCAACATGGCTTGCTATCGTTAACCAGGAGGAGGCTTTGCTACGAGAGCTCTACCCTGATTCCTGCCCACCACTCTCCTCGGGTGGAGGAAGTGGGAGTTTCGTTCTCAACGACTGCAGCGAGTATGATGCTGAAGTTGAGCCGAACTTTGATGTGCAAGAGCCTAAACCTGGGAATCTCAATGCATTCAATTTGGGTATCAATACAATGAGGACCGTTCAACAACAATCATATCCTCTTAATGTAGTTGTCAATAATCTGGATTTCATGCGAAAGAGGAAACCATCTGAAGATCTGAACATGATGGACAACAAGATCTACACTTGTGAGTTCCTCCAGTGTCCTTATAATGAACTTCGCATGGGATTTCATGACAGGACTGCCAGGGACAATCATCAGTTAATTTGCCCCTACAGAAACTCTTCCCGACAGTTCAGTGGTTCAGATTTTAACGTGAATGAAGTGAAACCAGTCATTTTCCCTCAACATTTTTCACCATCCAAGCCACCTGCACCATCTATTACATCTGTTACAACACCCTATGACCTATCAGGACTTGAAGTTCCAGAAGAGGGGCAAAAAACGATCGGAGAGCTCATGTCAATGTATGAGAACAACATGCAAGGCAACAAGAACATGAATACCGTAATCAGTCCGGTAACCGAAGGTCAAAATATCCTTCAGCCGAAAATGCAACAGCAACAGGATGGATTCTTCGGCAGTCAATTCATGGTGGGGGGAAATTTCTTCGCACAGTCCAGCATGGCTCGTAACCATCAGATATTTTCGCAAGTGGATGGCCAATTTGACCGTTTTAAAGCTCTGAATCCTCCGTCCGAGACCAACCACAATAACAACAACAGCTTCCAGATGATGTTTGGTTCTCCGTTCGATCTGGCGTCTTTTGATTACAAGGAAGATCTACAAGCAGCTGGGGCGGATACCATGCCGAAGCAGGATGGTCCATTCTGGTATTGAGTAACAAAGTACTGATCACATTTGGTATATTTATTTTTTTCATCACACCACAGTTTTCAAGCAGAAATATCTACCTTTTACTTCCCCTATTGTCTTTTCTACACAGAAGTAGCTACAAACCACATTTTTTTACTTGGTTTTTGTATTTTTCTTCATGCTTGTAGCTGGTAGAAGCTAGCAAGCTTAGCAGGTCTTCATGTTAGGCTTTCAATAAAACAAACAAGTACAATAATCCTGCTATGGATTTACATAGGATGTTATTGTCTCCTAAATAAGTTTGTTATGTATAATGTATTGTCTCTGTTATTTTTCTTCCCCTTCCATTTTAACTTGTTTAAACTTTGAGTCAGGTTCTCCCATGATCATGTTTTGTAGGATTCCGAATGTTTTTGTCCTGTAATGGGTACATAGTTGACAGGTTGTGTTGAATGGATGGAAACTGTTTGTCGTTTAGTGTCGACCTCGTTGTTCATCCCACAGCAGTTAATGCAAAGAAGATGGTTGAGTTTCACTAGAATCCTGCATTTGGTGGAAGCCTGAATTGGAACCGGTCTTGTTTTGTGCCAAGTGTGCCTGTGTTTGGTGGGGTCAGCTTTCTTTGGCTTCGTTCAAAAAGTTTGGAACTCGTCTTTTCAATGGTCCCCATTTCTGGAAGAAAAACAAACAAATACCAGGCAATTAAATAATACTTCTTCTCCACCCAAAATGAAAGGACAACGATCCAAACCCTGTTGGCACCATGATGGTGTGCTGCATGTTTGGATGTGATGCCCAACTCAAACATGGATATGATTCGAGTATAATCAATTTTTAAAATAATATAACTCTTGCATTATCATAATTTTATATTCATATTTGAAAGAATCTTACATTTATATTTAAATATACATGAGACGTACATTTACTCATAGTTCAAGAGCAAGTTTAAATATATTGTTGGGTGGGTGACGGTGGTTCAGCCGTGGCCGGAGTTGGAGGGTGGGGGAATGACGTTTAAGACAAACAGATAGAAGATGGAAAAATTCATGGGTGAGATAATGGGTCACCGCTCTTGATTCTGTGTTTTAAACTAGGGTTTTAGCTAATGAAAATTGAGAATTAATTCAAGGTTTGGGTGATGAGAACTATACCGAAGAGCTTCAAGTCCCCATCTTCAAAAGCTGAAACTTGACCAAACGGTTGCATGAACATGATCGGATAAATGTGGAAATGGAGAATCCGATGAAGATGGGTGGCGAGAGATGAGACCAAGGGGTGACGGCAACGGGTGTGAGAGAGCTAATAGAGACGGAGTGAAGGTTTAATAATTGATATTATATATTTAATGATTAAAATACTATTATTTTTATTTATTTAGATTAAAAAGAGAAAATTAAAAATTAAAAGGTGATGTGGCGCATACTGATTGGTTGCTGATTTTTTTTTACAAAATTAACGTTTTGGGATAAACGAGATAACGATTTAAAGTCGAGAGATAAAATATCTCAAGAAATACTTTAATGAGGTGTAAATTAATATTTATAAAGATAAATCAATAAATAAAACGCAAACGATTACTATATCAACCTCAACTATTTTTGAAATCTACATAGAATATAAAGAAAATATTATAAAACTTTTTTCCTTTTTATTATATTTGTACTTCAATGGAAAATTCCCTCATCGTCCCGACACATAAAAACAATTGTAATAATTATTTTCTTTACAAACTAATAAAATGCCTTTTATTTTTCTTTTATACGTCTATATTATTCAGATAAAATATTTTTATTTTGTACTATCGAAGCTTTAAATTTAGCGGGATAATGCCTCTTTATTACGATTTATATTAGATCTGTCAACTTTCTAAGATAGGTAAACAAAATATTTTATATGAAAAAATTATTTAATAAATTACTCTTAGTGAGATGATAAGACATTTTTATTCGAATAAATTAGTTTTGTGTTTGTTTCTTAAATAATATTTTTAAATTATTTTATTTTAAAATAATACAATAATATAACAATTTTCTAATAACCAATTTTCTAATTATAACACTTTATAATTGACACACGTCTCAACTAGAGTTTGTGTATGAACAATAAAAGTTACTCATGTATTTTATATGAGTTAAATTCTCTCATGTTTGATTTCCAAATAATATTTTCTTAGTTTTTTTATATAAGAATAAATATAAATAACTCGTGAATAGGTAATTTTAAATTGATATACTTTAAATTCAAAATAATTAATCAAATATTAGAATATTTAAATTTGAAATCATTAAAAATATGTCATGATAGTATAGAATAACCATTACACATTTAATTTCTGACAATTTCCAAAAATATTCATTAAATGAAATCATAAATAAATCAAAATTCATCACAACTATATCCACTACCATGAATTCAAACGATATAAAATCCTTACCCATCACTTCGTGGTCCCCACACTACCTTATCAATAATCAAGATGAAATCGAGGCCGTCAATCCTTGATCAAGCGTTGTAGCTCAGTCTAAATCCACGTAGTTAAAAGAAATTATTTGAGAATATATATATAATTATCGTTGAGTATGAAAAGGATACTGTATCAATTGAAATATTTATTTCTAAAAAGCTTATATTTTATGTTAATTACCTTATTAAATTAAAATTCTGATGAAAATATCAAATTAATTAACTTATTATAAATGCAGTTCTCAAAATAGAATCAATTAAAAATCATTACATTTAAGATAAATAGAAATATCATATGATCTGATTCCTATTATAAGCACATCTATATGCAATTATAAATTTATCCCGTTCTTCTTGATTTAACTGAAGAGATTAATATGCGGAAAAATAATAGTAAAAAAGATATCCAACAAAGGTAAACTTAAACATAATAGTGCTCCCTTTTTAAATTGAGAAAATAACCTCAGTGACCGAAAATTCCTTATAATATACGATTTTGATCAATTTTTTTCGATTTGTCAAAATGACCAACAAAATCGCAATGTGATCTCTAAATCGCAACGCGGTCTCCAGTATCGCAAATCAGTTTCCAGATTCGCAACGCGATTTTGACTATCGCAACGCGATAATACATAATCGCAATGCGATTTTCAAAGCGACGTTAGTATCGCAACGCGTATTTTATTTTCAAATTCCAAACACGAATATTAATACATCCCGTAATCGTAACTCTTAACCTAAAAACCCTAAATCACAACTCAGTCCCATCTCTATTCTCACTCTCTACGGCGACATCCGTCCCCATCTCCGACGAAATCCATCCCCATCTCCAGCGAAATCCGTCTATCTCCATCTCTCAAAGCCACCCTCACAATCATTCACGATCAGAAATGGAAAATCAACCACCGAGGGTTAGTTTTTTTTTTTTTTAATTTTTTGCATTATTATTAGGTTTTTCATATTGAAATTGATGATAAGTTTACTGGTAATTTCAATAATAGATTAACCATTTCACTTAGATTGCTTATTAAATTCATTCGATTGATGCCAATACTACTAAACTGTTTAGTCTTTAACCCTGTAAAGTTAGTAATTGTCTTTGTTTTGTCTTTTGGTTGAAGTAATGCAATTCATTCAAGTTTCAATTTTAGACAATGACTATTTGAAACCGAGGATCGCAACGCGAAATGAAAATCGCAACGATAGTCAAATTCGCGTTGCGATAATCATTTTCGTGTTGCGATTTTCATTTCGCGTTGCGATAGTCAAATTCGCGTTGTGATAGTCATTTTCGTGTTGCGATTTTAAGTTTCAGAAACTATTATTCTTCTGCAAATTGAAACTTGAATGAATTGCATTACTTCAACAAAAAAACAAAGACAAATACGAAATTCACAGTGTTGCAAATTTAAGTTTGAAGAATAAACTACTACTACTCTTTATTGTTTTTGGTATATCTTCCCAGTGTAGTTTTTAATCTAACTTGGTATGTTTATTGTTTTTGTAGAACTTTTTTTCGGCTCAAATTGACCTTAAGGAATAAAATAAGCCTAGTCACTACAATTGCGTCGAAGCTTTCACCTGTACAAAGAATATTGTTTGAGGATACTTGCTTCGGGCCATGGCTGAAAGTACAACATCCGGGTGGAGATGCTATGTTGACCCATTTGTGGCTTCAGACCATGACTAGCGATCTACCCGAGAGTATAAAACGTGATAATGAAGAGATATGGTTTCATTTTCCACCGGCGTATACGTGTTTTGGGCGGGAGGAGTTTTGCTTAATCACGGGTCTACGCTTCGGACACGATGATGTAGGTCGATACACTAGTCATATTACCCGCCCATCATGGTTATCTCGGGTTTTTCCTAAGCTGTCAATGGAGAAGCCGAATTTACAAGTCGATGACTTGACGAGATTATTGAATAAGAAAGATGGTTTTACTCGGATGGATGTCATCGATGTTGTCCGAGTATGCCTTTTAGTACTTTTGCATGCCAGATTTTTAGGCAGAGAGGCCAAACAACCTATTCCTAAGGACTTAATATTATTGGTAGAGGACCTAAATGCATGGAACCTGTTTCCGTGGGGTTCGTATCTATGGAAATCAACCTAGAATAAGTTGTCGTCTGCCTTTGATGACCGCAAAAGTTTGTGTGGCGATGGTTCCAAATACACTTTGTCAGGCTTTATTTGGGCCTTTAAGGTAAGAATTTCTATATAATGTTTCCAAAATTATAATTAATTATTTAACAATTACTAATGTGTGTGTATTATATTGTTTTTGTAGATTTGGATATTTGAGGCTTTTCCCGACATGCAGACATATGCATTAAAAACTTCAAATGATATTCCTAGAGTTATTTCCTGGAAGAGGAAACGGCGTCTGTTGATTTGGAAAGAGTTACTACGGTATACGACAATAAATGATGTAAGTTAACACAAATACTACCATATATATAAACAAGTTATTACTAGTACACGTTTAACTTTGTTTGAGCTTTTATATTGTTAGGAGGCCAACACTCCATTACAGAGGCTGACACCCACGGAGGCTGAGCTTGCCACTGATTGGTGGCAAGCTAGTAAGCATTTTTTTGATGGCACGGATGATGAGTAGCCTCCACTTCGAGAGCCATCACCTCACCCAGAGCCATCACCTGATCGACCACACTATATACCTCTACAACGAGAGCCATCACCTATTCCGTCACATCATTGAGCCTCTTCTCCACCATCACCTCATGATAGGCGACTGACAAAGATGCCACGACATTTATCTCCATGTTCTCCACCTCCACCTCCACGGGATGAGTTAGGGGAGTTACGTGATGAGGTCAATGCCTTGCGTGAGGAGGTCGGTACTTTACGCGATGACAATGGTGCATGGCGAGACGAGGTATCTACTTTACGTGGTGAGGTAGTGGCTCTACGTGAGATGGTTGCATCGTTGCAGAATGAGGTTCATACTCTACGCAACGAGGTAAGTTTAAGATTTTTCATATTTAACTTGATTTACTCGTAATTTCACTTAGATTAACCATTTCACTTAGATTGCTTAGTAAATTTATTCGGTTGCTGCCAATACTGCTAAATAGTTCTAAAAATAACCCTGTGAAGTTAGTATTTATCTTTGTTTTGTCTTTTGGTTGAAGTAATGCAATCCATTCAAGTTTCAATTTGCAGAAGAAGAATAGTCGCAACACGAAACTTAAATCGCAACACAGAAATGACAATCGCAACGCAAATTTGACTATCGCAACGAGATAATCGCAATGCGAAAT